AGCTAAACTGCAGGAATTCTCTAATATCATTCAGAATTCATTGTTCCTTCAATGATGGCAAGATGTCCTGATCCAGATGCAGCAAAACGGGCCCAAACCATGATACTACCACCACCATGTTTCACAGATGGGAGAAGGTTCTTCTGCAGGAATGCAGTCTTTCTCCAAACGTTACGCGTTTCATTTAAACCAAAACGTTCTGTTTTGGTCTAATCCGTTTAAAAAACATTCTTCCAACATTCTTCTGGTTTGTCCACGTGATCTTTATCAAACTGCAGACGAGCAGCCATGTTCTTGTTGGAGAGCAGTGGTTTCTCCTTCAACCTGCCATGAACCATTGTTGTTCAATGTTCTCCTGGTGGTGGACTCATGAACATCAACATTAATGTGACAGAGACCTTCAGCTGTTAGAAGTTACTCTGGGCTCCTTTGTGATCTCGCTGACTATTCCACTCCTTGTAGTGATCTTTGTTGGTCCATCACTCCTGGGGAGGAGAACAATGCTCTTGAAGTTCCTCCATTTGTCCACACTGTGGACTGGTGGAGTCCAAACTCTTAACAGATGTTTTGTAACAATTTCCAGCCTGATGAGCATCAACAACTCTTTTTCTGAGCTCCTCAGAAATCTCTTAAGTTCCTGCCGCGATCCACTTCCACAAACATGTTGTGAAGATCAGACTTTCATAGATCCTTATCCTGATGCATGCTCAATAATCCAGGTAGAAAAATCTAAAAAAGTTAAATCTGGTCCTCTGGACATTCAAAAAAACTAAACAAAACAACAAAAAAATGTAGAAACGTTTCGTCTCTCATCCGAGAGACTTCCTCAGTCTGAGGAGCTGTATTCAGCTCAGTCTCTTAAATAGCACCGTCTCAGAGTGGATCAACCAGTTTTACTGCTGACAACCAAAACCAGCTGATCACATGCTCAAGAAGGACCATCAGCCTAACAATGGATCATTAGCACACTGATGGCTGTTTACTGTTCACAGAGAGCTGAGTGATACTAGCAATCACAGCATTGTAAGAAGGGGACAATTGAACCCGGAGGCCTCCACCCCTGTTTAACGATGGACGATTTCTTTTCACAAAGATGGCCTCCTTTACTCCTCTCTCAAACCATCGTTCCTCTCTGTCCAGGATGTGAACATCTTCATCCCTGAAAGAGTGACCGCTGGCCTGGAGATGAGTGTAGACCGCAAAGTCCTGGCCTGATGATGTTGATCTTCTGTGCTGGGCCATCCTTTTGGCCAGTGGCTGTTTTGTTTCCCCGATGTAAGACTGATCACCCTCCTGACACTGAACAACATACACAACATT